CAATTTTGCTCAACTCTAGATGTCTTTAAAAAGTGAGTTTTACTGATGTACATCATTTATGTTTGTGATGTTATTCAAAACAATTTTTCATGGTCCTATCAATGTTTCAGGTTCTGAGGAAGATTATGCAAACATGTCTAAACACAGCTTCACAAAATGGGTACTCATCCATCGCTTTCCCCGCTATTGGTACTGGTGGATTACAATTTCCAAGAGATGCAACTGCTAGAATAATGTATGAAGAAGTCACTTCTTACAGCTCTAACAATCCTGCCAGTTCAATTTCTAATATATTATTTGTAGTATATGACCAAGACTTCCCAACAATACAGGTGAGTACTTTTTGGTTAACCATTTATATAAAAACTAAACCATGGTTTTACTTACTGTTTCATATTAGATGTTTATAGGATGTTTACGTAATTGTGACTGCAATTAACAACAAATTCTGCTCACGTAGTTAATTGACAAAGTTTGAAAATGTAGAAATGAAATTTAAATATTTTTTAACACTTAACACATCAACGTCTGACCTCATTTTGTACACATCATAAGTGGATATGTGTTCCTTCATTTGTGAAGTGATGATGTTTATTTCTGGGAGAGAAATAAGTGCTCTCAAAAACATTCACGTTTTCAAAAAAAGTTTGAGAAAGTAGTTGCGTAATTGTAATTCAATAAATTTGGAGGGTATTAATCTCTCAAATATAGGGAAGTGAATTTTTGGTGCATTATGCATGGTATGCATCATTACAAACCTCATGATCAGACATTATATTATATGCACATGCATTTGTTTCACTATCCAATTAAATATCATACGTTTTCATGATTCTGGAACCGAATCTCAGTTGTGCATATACAGATAATCTCTGTTCAAAGTTTGTACAAACTGTGAACATAATTGGACCTTGGTGCATGGCTTTTCATTTTTCGGATTGGGTTCAAAATGGCCGACTGGTTGCCATTTCATATATTCGATGTGGCTGGACTGATCAAGTTGAAACTGCACTCATACATCTGATGTCATATCGCACAAACATGTATGCATTAAATCCCCCTTGTTTATATGAATGCAGTTCCATGGAGCGATATCTTGTACATGCCTGGACCAATTTCCACATATACACGACACATTAGGTCATTTATATATCTCACGTCTGTAATATGAACATGGACTACATGTATTTCATTGACAATGATTTGTTTTATTCCAAATACATAACCCATTCTCAACACTCAAAATTTTGTTATCAATGAAGGATTTCCAACTGAGATGTGTTGACATCAACTGCAATTAATAAAAACTAAATACAATGAACAAAACACAATCAAAGAAGCAAGCGGTATATGTATATTAGTATATCCTTTCCTGAATCAAAAGATTTTTTTTTGCGTTGTTTGAGTGACTGATTTGCTCAGTACTGTGAAAATGAAAGAAAAACACGGAAAAAGGCAGGAACAAATTATTGTATGTAGTTCAACTTGACCATACACGCTGTCAATAAATATTTTACCAGCAGTCAATTAATTAATTGATATTCATTTGATTTATGTATCAAGAAACAAATTATATTGTAAAACAGCACAAGTAACAAATAAGTGACATGACTACCGGTATACTGTATTTTTATATGTTTTGCAAAAACTAAGTATTTATTGTTTGTTGTCATCAACAATATTATTTCAGGCATTTGAAGATGAGATCGGAAGACTGACTGGGGTGCCATTGAAGAAACGACATGGCCATGGCAGTGGTGGAAGTGCTGCTGCTAGTAGGACTGGTGCCAACAGCTCTGCATATGGTGGTTTTACTCCAGTGAAACCAAAAAAGAAGAAAGGAAAAGTTAGTCCTGGACAAACATTCCAGGGAGCTTCAGGTTATGCAGCATCAGCTTCTAGAGGTGGTAAGGGAGTTTTTCTCAAAGTATAAAGTGGTTATTATGTCATACTACTTGTAGCTCGATAACTACCATATATATTATGCACATGTACTGTAAGAGAATGGAGATAATTTCCCTTCATGTAGCATATTTCAAGATAACATACATAAATTGCACCTAAAAATTGGATGTATCAGCTGATTGCCTTGCCTGTAATGTTATTATGAAGGCCAAAAGGTATTTAAAATGTCTGTTGGTGTTGTTGCTGTTAATATTAATTTTAACAATAATTTTATCCAAACAATATCTAGCCTTGTTATATTGTTCATATAAAATAAAGTATACAATCTTGCCTATCAAGTTTGATTGGGGTGTGTCTAGTGTGAAACACATGAAATATTTTTAATTGAGTACAATTGACAGCTTAGATTAGAATAAATATAAGCATTACTTGTTTTGATACTATGAAGGAGACAATTGTATGAGTGACAAAAAGCAAGGTAACCAAAGTCTTAACTATGTTGCTCATCATATTTATAAAAAATTTATTGCAGAAGCAGAAGATACGCTTTATATGCAATTTAAGGAGAAGCCAGGGGGGTCTGGTGACTGTCAAATGATGGTTGGAAATGTCTTAGTGCAATTACAGAAAGGTGATATTACAAATGAAATGACTGATGCTATTGTGAACAGTTCCAATGTTAACCTAGACCTCAGACAAGGTATGGATATCAGATTTTTCCATTTGCTTAAAAATAATTAAAAAACTTTGGAAGTGGAAAACTAAAAGATGAATAATAATAAGTTTGTATCAACCATCATGATGGAAGACACATTTGTGTTTTTCAAAGATTGTTTAAATTTATCAATGCATTAAATTGAGTTGAAATTAGTAACTGGAAAATATAACATTTATTAAGTTTATGTGCAGGCAGTACAAATCTGAATACCACTTGATTTAATTCAATGTTACCAATGTATTCAAATTAAGCATATAATGTATGATTATTAAAATTTCTAAATCTGAAACACACCATACAATCAAATGATTTAATTAAATTTTGTAATCATGTTATCAATGTTTTAAAGATGTATATATTGAAGATGCAATATGGAAATTTTAATATAGTTGTTCAATACTGTAGATGAAATCAAACTATGATTATGTTGCATATTGTACAGTATTCGTTAAATGACAAATCAGAACAACTATTATGCAATTGCAGTGATTGTTTTTTCATTGTTTCGTTGAACCAATACAAGAACAGTATTTTCAGGTCATGGTTAATCATAGTCCAAAGGTAATTAGCGTGATTATGAATACAATATATAATCTGTGTTAATCGTGATATGCATCGACTAAGCTGGCATCCTCCTCTCGTATTTTCATTCCTCCCTTGCCCAAAGGTTGATGTCAGGTGAACTGGTCATAGGGAATTGATGATACTATTTGGACTATATGTATTGTATTGTAATGTAATGGACTAAGTGTTACTTTGTTGATCAATTCACAGGTGCAGTATCTCAAGCTATTTTGAAAAAAGGTGGAGGGTCGATTGTGGCAGAATGTCAGAGATTAGGTAAATAACATTGCACCCATGTTGTATTGATGTCTAGTGTTTATGAAATCTAAAATAATTTTTGACTCCCATGTGTGAAGCACACAATGGGAGTCTTTGCAGTTAGTGTGTCTGTATGTGTGTGTGTGTGTGTGTATGTATGTGTGTATGTGTGTCCGTCTGTTCCACTGCTATCTCAAGAACCATACATCAGTTTTTGATGAAACTTGGTGCATAGATGCTCTGGGCCAATGTGCAGATTTGATTAGGTAGAAATCCATGCATATTAATTACCTAATTTGCATGATAATTAGCTAATTTTTAGCTGTTCCATGACTGTTCCACTGATATCTAAAGAACCACTCATTAGATTTTGATGAAACTTGGTACATAGATGCTCTGAACTTATGCTCAGATTTGATTACTGAGTTTTTGGTAAAAATCCGTGCATATTAATTACCCAATTTGCATGATAATTAGCTAATTTTAGCTGTTCCATGACTGTTCCACTGATATCTAAACAACTACTCATTGGATTTTGATGAAGCTTGGTACATAGATGCTCTGAACTAATGTTAGGATTTGATTAGTTTTTGGTTAAAATCTGTGCATATTAATTATAATTTGAATAATGATTAGTCAATTTTTGTTTTTTCCACTGATATCTCAAGTTACTAATCATCACATTTCAATGAAACTTGGTACATAGATGTCATAGGACACTGCACAGACGTGATAGTTTTAGGGTAATATCAGTACATATTAATTACCTAATTTGCATAATTAATTATTGTTCAGCTTTTGATATTTCAAGTACATTACATTTCAATGAAACCGGGTACATAGATACTCAAGGACTATGCAGAGATTGTTTTGGGATAAAAATGTGTGCATATTAATCACCTAATTTGCATAATTAGTTAATTTTCAGCTTTTCCACAAATATCTCAAGTACTAATCATCACATTTCAATAAAACTTGGTACATAGATCCTCTGAGACTATGCAGAGACCTGATTAGTTTTAGGGTAAATAATTGTGCATATTAATCACCTAACTTACAACTGTACATGGATGCTGTAGGAAAATATACAGACCTGATTAATTGTGGGTTAAAATCTGTACATATTAATTACCTAATTTGCATAATTGACCAATTTTGAGCTATGACACTGATATCTAAAGTACTAATTATTCCATTTCGATGAAACTTAGTACTACGATGCTCTAGGACAATATTGATTATTTTAGGGTTAAAATCTGTTCATATTAATTCACTAATTAGCATAAGAATTCATAATTGTTTGGTTCTAATTACATTTCAATAAAACTTGATGGTATGTTACATTGCGCAGACCTCATTAGTTTTACACTCAAATCTGTTCATATTAATTTTCTGATTTGCATTATTAGTTTTCAGCTTTTCCATCAATATCTCAAGTACAAGTATTTTCGAATTATTTTTAATGTGTTTCCAATACTCTCAGCAGATGGGAGTTCTTTCTAAGCTTTCTTTGAGTTTTTTTTAACACTGAAAATTATTTTTTTGTAGGTAGACAACAAGAGGATTCTGTTGTCATGACAAATGCTGGCAATATGAAATGTACTAAGATAATTCATATGATAACACCATACAGGAAGTTAGAAGACAGTATAATTGAGATGTTGCTGTTTGCTGAGAAACAGAGACTGAGTTCTATTGCTATGCCTGCAGTTGGAACAGGTACAATGCATAATCCCTATAAACATTAAATGGCATTCAAACTAATTTGGGGAAATCCATTGATGTTTATTATATGAGCAAATGATAACCATTCAAATGAATATTCTCATGATGGGTTACTGGGTCAAGTGTCTTTGTACATGTATTGATGTTTGTTTCAAAATGGCCAACTGGTGACCATTTTTTTTGTTTAACACAAAAATTAGTGTTAATGCTACAATAAATGATACAAGACACAAGGTTTTGGCAAAAGTGGAAGGGGGAGCGAATTGCGGATGCAGGCGTCGCAGCGAACAGCTCCATGATGCGACTCGCCTGTGAATTGCATCATGACGCTGAGCGGGTGGTACCTGGTTGCAACCTTCCACCAGCAGAGAATGTACAGACGGGCGTCATGGCTGGCGTCCCCCTGGCGGGAGCCTGCAGATACACTCACAACCCCAGGAGAATGAACAGCGTGGGTACCCGTGTAAAGTCTGCTTGGTCTGTGGTGGAAACCCCCAAATTTAAAGGCAGGATGATGTGTTGTGGGAGATGGGCTTTACACGAAGAGTAAAACTAACTGAAAATTTACCAAAAAAAAAAAGCAAATTGAAAAACTTGCACAGCAACATAACAAACATACTGTAAATAAGAAAAAGAAACACGCTAAAGAAACTGATAAAATTACAAAGTCTATCGCAATAAGATAAAACAAAGCAGGGTTAGACCGATAAAACATTAAACTAAATACACTGCAAATACACGTAGCGAAAACGAAATGAAATCTCAAAACAAATGACGAAGATACAGTTAAAAGAAGAGCAGTCAGCAATGGACAAGTGACCCGGACCTGATCGGATAATGCTGGGGGGTGTGCTAATTTAGGTCTGGTAGGCGTCGCTGCGCCACCTGCCCAGTGCCTTGATCAACCAGTCCGGGAGATTTG